CACACTCTCTCTCTCTCTCTCTCTCTCTCTCTCTATCTATCTATCTATCTATCTATCTATCTATCTATCTATCTATCTATCTCACTTACTCGCTGTCTCTCCTCACAGAACTTGCATTTCTCATTTTAAAAGTATACACATTCTCTTTGACAGCAAATACAACTGCGTTAAAGATATATTTGTATAGATACAAAAATTTTAATGTCCAGCGGTTTTGTTTGGAGGGAGGGGGGGGGTTGTTGCTAGTTTGGCAAAGAGCAAACAGTGTCGAATCTCATCCATGTAGGTCTATCGCAGCATTTTTGGGACTCCTCTAAATAAATACTCTATGGACATCTTGGGGCAGGATTAGAAGTATTTACGAGCCCACAGGTCACCTATTCTCTTTGTACGTTTTATATCATGTAGCTCTTCTTGCTGTGATACGCCACCTTTCACAAGTGTAAAAGCGATTGGGTGCTTTTAACTTTTAACCATCGCCCACAGAAGACCTGAGTTCGATTTCCGTGTGGTGAGGTTTTTTAATCTGCCTCCTGGAACATTGTATCCCTCTCAGTGTCTCAGCCCGGTTGGATCGCACGGACAAGGTCGAGGCAGCCGCTTCCTTAATGAACTGAACTCTGTTGATGGGGGCGTAAAGCGTCTGCTATTGCATGTTACAAGAGCTTTCGAGACGAAGAAATAGTAATATTAATCTGAACCGCAGTAATGCTGCGAGAGGCATGATAATTTGCAGCAAAGACCAATCGGAGCTCGGCAAAAGAGTGTCTGCTCACCTATACTTCTGCTGCGGAGTCTTTTTCTTTAATCTTGGCCTTTTTTAAAATTTGATTTATAAGTTACTTTTATTTGGAATCAAAGGAAGTTGTGTTGCTGTGTTTGCTTTTTTTTGCGGTTGTTGTCTATTATAAGGGGGCGACGGGCTTGAGATTTTTTTTTTTTATTCAAAATGGGTTCAAGGCAGTTTTTCAACTCTTCCAGATAAAAGATTGCGTATTGTGTAACACACACTTGTCTTGAGAAATGCCCTGCACAATACGTGTTACTATCTCGTCCAGCGAAAGTCCCTGCATGACCAAGATAAATGCCCGGCATTATAGTGTTACACATTCATCCAGATGAATTCTCGGCATATTGTTTCATCCAGAGTAATGCCCGGCATTGTGTTATAAACTCTTCTAGAGAAATACCCGGAACAGTGTAACAAACACATTTGAGGGGAACGCCCAGCAAAGTAAAATGCCATTAAGTCTCCGTTGATACACCCTATGTTGGGTGAGTGCATCGTTTGATGTGTTTTTATTAGGAGGAAGTGCGCTGGGCGACTGCATGCACTCCTGTGTGTGGCTCTGTTTGTGTTCTCATAATGCTTTGAGCCCCTTTAGTATGACATTTCTGATCAGAAAAAAAGAGACGCCCTTAATAATGAGCATCGGAGTGTTTGTCAGATATGGTACTTTCGCCAGTCTTGACAAAGAAACCACGGTGCATTATGGCGTAAAATGTACGATAGAAATATATCGAAGATTTGTCAAATTGTCTCCTTGCAGGGTGTTTTGGTCAAGGTACGCTGTTTCTCATGTTAACATTCGTCTCAAACTTTTTATTCTTTACCTTTTCATACTCTGTTGCTATTCGGCGTCGAGCGAGATACAGCTTTCTGTGGTAGGCCAACTCTGCAGGCAGTCCTTTCATATTAAATGGTCGGCATTAAGCACAAGAGGGCTATCCCGAAAAATGCTGTTTTGAGAAAATCGGAGGTAAAGTTTTTGGACCCTTGTTCAGTTT